ACCTAACTTAATTGCATTAAATTCTTGAAGAGTTTAAAAGAGAAAAAAATAATTGAGATATGGACCAAGTTAATTGGTAATGCTGAGATGATGCTCAGCCTGCAAGATTACTGTAAGGGACTAAAGGACAGGATTTTTAATTCCAGTGTATTCTAGACTGTCTTTCATCCTTTTGCCTCCAAGTACAAACATGGTCTGGAGGTTTAACCAACTTATTTATAAAATTATGACAAAGTCTGCCATACTGCACCAAAAAAAACCCCAAACCAAAATACTCACCCAAAAAAACCCCAAAAAACCCCAACAAACCTAACACAACTCCCAAATCTCCCAAACCAGCTATTGAGTGTTTAGCACAGTTCAAAAACTAAAAAAAACCAAAAACCTAAAAAAACCCTAAAAAAAAAGAAAATCAAAAGGTGATTCAGACGGTCAGTAATAGAAGAATATCTAATAAAACATTAGATACAAAGGGTAAAAAAAAATCTTCATACAGATATTAGGGCAAGTCTCCATTATAACAGCATCTAAACAAAGGGGCCCCTTCTCAATCCGTTCCCTTACCATGTGCAACCAAAGCATATAAAGCCTCTCATGAATATATATAGAGTTCAAAATCAAATTTTTTGTTCCCATTACTTCTACCAGAATGTTTTTCCAATGACCCCACTAAGACTGAAAATTAGTAATCAAACTACTTTAGTTATTTCATATACATTTGTACTTCCATCAGTAGCTGACCATTTTCCAAATCTTCCTGCAGCCCTGCCATCATTCTCTATCCCAAGTTTATGTACAGAGACCAGTTATATTCTCTCTTTCCTTCAAACTGCAAAGGTAAACAAGGCTAAGTCTTTTAGCGTCCTACCCTGTTTACCACTAGGGAATGAAAAGCTTAAGTAAAAGAATCAGAACAATAAAAAGAAGATGCTATCATTTTCCTAATCCATATTAGGGATGCTATTAAACTCTGATATTACAAATTGAAAGAGGATTTAAACACTTTGTAAGTAAGTTCCCCATAGTAAAACGAGTCCCTGTGTTCATCATTGTGTTGTACTAATTAAACAGTTTTAACTAAAATGGCCAGAAAGTATGCACAAGCTGTTTATCACTGCTGGCCTTTGAGCTTCAGTATACTCAAAGGATATGCTACTTTAGATGCGATAATTACTGAGTTCTTACATTTTTACTGAAGAGGCACAGAAGAGTTCCAACAGAGAATTTCACATTAATCAGAGATAACAGGCTACTTATTAATAATAAAGCCATTATTATAATAGGAAAAACATTTATTCAGTTCAACATTTATAGGTACTAATTCCAAAAACTGTTTAAATTGATATCAGGCAGAAAGTTTAGTCTCAGCTCTTTAGGGAAATTCGAGAAAATTAATCATTTATCTGAAGCATAAGAAATACTAAAGACTATTAACTATTCACTCACAAACAACAGCTTATCCTCCATTCTTCTGCTTCTTAAGAGGAGATCAACAATTTTTTCTGACATCTTTCCTTCTTACTTTTAAAAATTCAGATGCAAGTTATTTCACCATGAATTGGAAATGCCTTCAAAAGGTATAGACAAATGTAAAGACTTATATGAGACTATAAATATTACACTGTAGAGAACTCACTTTTGACTTAAGGGCCAAATACGGACAATTAACGGAATTTCATTTCTTGGCTGCCTTTTGCACAAGTTCTCTCTCAAGTTTCAGGCGCATATACACATGGCTCAGAAAAGTTAAGTACCTCAAATCTCAGTTTTAATACTAAAATTTCTATGAAGATTAAACCCCTTTTCAAGGGTGCTAGAAGAAAAAAAAAATACAAATAGACCCAATTGTGAAACAGTAACTTACTATGAAAAAAAAGTGCCACAAAGGAGACCGTCCCAAAGTTAACACAATTTATCAGCCTGTGACTACATAATGGAAAAATTCTCCTGGTTAATACAACACACCAAAGAAAATTAGTTCTTCCTTAGCAAGATTTTTGCATATCTTCCACTTACTAGTACAGAAGTAGAAATTCAGACTCTGCAGTCAGCATTTAAAAACTACAGGCTGTTTCGGTCAATTAATTTTTTGGCAAGCTAAACCTTACATCACCTAGGGCCTTCAAATAAATATTAGATTAAAAATACTCAATATGTACGAGTATTAGAAAAACAAATTAGAAGCCTTCAGGGGATTTTATATATTTATTTTAGCCTTTAACTTTATATACTGTACTTTCTGTGGCTAACCAAAGGATAGTAAAACAGCAATATCAAAGTGATGCAGCCTATGAAAATTTACTGTTTCATCTTTTGTGTATGTTTATATATACACCTATATAAAGCATGTCTGTTTAAAGTTATGGTAAACCACTATTTTTATGCCTCACAAGTAACTGAGAATTCTGTGCACAAAATAGCACTGTAATACTATCCAGTATTACTACAGTCAACTAACCAACATGCTCAAAATTCTAAGTCAAAAATATTTACCATAACGAAAGTTTATTAAAACACCCTAACATTTTGCTGATTATTTTTTAATTTCTAAAAAATATTATTAAGTATAATTCAGAAAGCCAGTTTCTGGTCACTCTTCTCTGAGCAACTTCAGGTTTATCCAGCTTTATATCTTTGTAATGTATACAAGACTGTCAGTTGGAAGAAAATTATGGCAACAGAAAGAATCAACTAGATTTATCTGGGAAACTCACTCTCATAGTCTATACAGCATGTCTCTCCTAAATCTAGTAACAACTAAATTAATTGCTGAATATGATTAAGAAATTTCATATACCATTGTGAAAATTCTCACAGGTAACAATTTCTATCCTTACACACAAATTTACCTTTACAGGTGAAATTAATACTTACAAGTATTACTTCTAAGTATTACTTGTATACAAGTATTACTTTTTTTTTTTAACAGGTTGGAATCATTGTGCTCCAGACCTTTTGAATACTGTGTTAGCCTGAATTCAAAGCACGTTACTTAATTTCTAACTTGCAGAAAGATTTTAGAAATGGCCCACATACCAAATCACAGCTTTTTATTTGTATGTAGTGGTATATTCTAGTTGATTAACCAGTTATTGAGGTTGTGCTGCTCCCATTCCAAGCAGCAATGAACACTGAGAACACCAGGCTTGGCTCCCCAGTGAAGCTTGAACTGCCAGGTCCCACCACAGCAGCAAAAGCATCGCCATTTTCTAGCACACACTTCACATCATCTCACAAGAACCAACAGCCTTTTTATTCTGGGTCACGTGTATACAAATCACAAGCTTCTCCAACTTCTGAATGCCTAAGAGTTTATTAAAATAAATTAGTGACCACTTCAAGGAGGCTCTTCTCAAAGCAAAGAGCTAGCAGTAGCTAGTGAAATCATTACTTTGTCAGTAACTAGAGACAAACTCCTGCTTATTTACATTATATTTGATAATTAACTGGCAGTGAAGAGCTAAGCTACTAAAACACTGATTTCTAGAATGGCAGCTTAATAGTTAAGGGAAATCCAACACCTTCTTTCTTACTCAATCCTTATACAGCAAGCATCGAGTTCTGTAAAAACTACAACAAAATAACTAAGGCAACTCTTCACAAAGAATACATTGTCAAGTTACGAAACTGAGATTTCAGTAACTAAGAAATGTTTTTAAAAGCCACTAAGTAATATAATTCTAAGATACATGGAGGTATTAAGTCCAGAGCTACTTCCATGGCTTTGTGTAACAACTGCATTGGAAAATTCCTCTAAAAAATCTGTAATTCTGAGGAGTTTCAAAAGAATTACTGGTTTTGGTGTGGGGACACGTATGAATGTACACAAATGTATACAGACACATATATGTTTAACGTGGAAGAAAAATGCAATACAAGGGAAAAGATATGTCCTTAGTGCCAGTGCAAATTCCTTGAACACTTTTCCCAGTAGACATATTTTAACCCCAAAGTAAAAAACCTGAAAAGTTGAAATGGGAGAGAAGGCATTTGTCTAAGTATTCTGTTCTGAAAATAAGGACTTGCACTTAATTTTCTTAACGGAGCACGGCACAGAGAGGTTTACTTAGAGGCCTGTATGTTCCAAGCAGCATCGAAATAATAAAACCTCATTTGGAGAGCTTAATTAAATTAAGCATACAAAGAAAAGCCACAGAAATACACAAGTGTTACTTCCATTTTTGCTGTTCTATACTTTCTTCCACTTCATATCACTTTAATGTACAAATCCCTTAATTGCACCCTGCACTCCTGAAACAGAACCTGCAAATTCTGTTAGGGAAGAGTAACACAGTTTCTTATTTTGTCACTGATCAATGAAAGTGGTTGGGGTAGTCAGGGTAGATTTTGAAAGGACTGTTTTTCCTAGGTAGTTTTTAGAAACACTTCAGACCAGATGAATTCAAACCAGTTCTAGTTAAATGAAACCATTCTCCTTCAGAAGGTAAGTGTACAGTGAACACCCCATGGAGACCACAATATTGACAGGCAAGCAAAGAGTTTTGCTTAAGCAGGGTGGGGAAAGAGGAGAGGACAGGACAACCAACCCTGAGATAAAGACACTTCTATAAGCAACAGAACTGGTTACACAGGTATGGGACAAACAGTAACTGAGACTAAGTTCAGTCTCCAAAATGTCTCTGAAGGGCTCCTAAGCATTCTGCAGCTGACTTTTAGAGACACACCAAGAGGAAAAAAAACACTATCCCAAGAACTACTTTTCTCCTCAAATTCACTTCACAAGTGTCTCAGGACGGACAATACCGAATGAACGAGATAATTAGGATCTTACATCTATGGTTTAGCAATCCATACTAGTTTGGCATTTAACACGACCTTCCACTCACACTCACTGCAAATCAAGCTAAGTGGAACATACACCGATTGCCTAGTATCCAAAGCGACTCATCGTGATCCAAGGGTAGCATCACATGAAATTTATATTTAAAGACGATCACAAAGATCAAAAAATAATTTAGGGACTAAAAAGATATACTTACATCTGGATATTCTTTTACAGGCACATATAGTTTCTCTTGTAACTGTACAATAGGTCCCACAGCATCTGGTAATTCTGCACTTCTCTTCTCCGTACTACCATTTAATGTGTCGTTATACATGTCTTTCCGTACTCTGCTAATTTCTGTGGGGGGAAAAAAACGTATATTAGGCATTAAATACAGTAACAGATTACAATCTAACATGTCAATTTTTTCTATTATTTCCCAAATCTTAATGCCATTTTCTTCCTCTTCTCATGAACATCATAGCAGCTGAAATATCTACTCTGGTTTTGTTTATTTTTCTTCTGTTTTGTTTGGGGGTTTTCAGTGTGTTTTGTTGTTTTTTTTTTTTTTAAATTGCAGCACCCATTCTTAAATGTCTCTCATGTCTGTAAATTTGCTACCTACTCATCCTGTTTATGGAATTCAGCTATTGAAGCAAAAATTATGTGCACCTCCTCACAACACTTACAAGATTGCTCACTTCATTTTAAAGGTGTATAAAACAGTTCTTTCATGTTTTTCTAAATAATAAAGCAGCTAGAAAGAAAAAAAAAAATTAGAAATCTGTACCTAACATAAAAAATAGAAAAATTCATCAATACAGTACTTTTGCTAGTTATGGGATTAACTACAGCACTGGGAAATTAAATAGAGCCTCTTTCAGCAATGGGAAATATGACAACTTAATAGCACAGTTCATGAGCACATGGTATGACAACAAACTGGTAGATATTGTTCTACTGACTACCCCCAAAGAAATAATGAAAAAAACGAAGTGCAGTGTGGTATCAGAGACCTGGGCAAGCTCTCTCGGTGCATTCAGAAGCCCTACTACTTCAAATCAAAGTAATGAAAAGCTCCTCAACAACACCAGGGAATGTCAAGGGTGAACTTCAAAGTACTGTTTCTACCATTTACACCTGTGTTACTCACACCTTGCAGTATTTACTTGGAAGATGTAGTTTAGAAGTAATAAACAAGGTAGTTAAAAATGGATAATTTTATTCAAATCTATATTAGCATCACTAAGCTGTAAGAGTCTGAGAATGAACACAAAGCTTTCTTTTGTTTAACCAAAAAAGACATTTAACAAGAAGTTACATTTTACATCTAAATCTGTTAAACATGGTATTTAAATGGCTACTATAAGAATCAGAAATTCCATATTTCAAAATTTATGGAGTCCAAAATAGTGTAAAAATGTTATCAATGAGATTATTTCAGTATCACTGAAGAATTACTTAAAATGAATGTATTAACCAAGTTTCAAACCAAAAACTAACATTGCAACAGGACTGTTCCCAAAGCATTAAAGACTTACAATAGCATGGGCTGTAACAAAGCCAGTTATCAGTAATTCCAGTCTTTTACTTAGAATTGCAACAACTGCTTTCAAAACCTTCAGAATTAAACATGACACTGAAAACAGAAATCTTATGCTTTCATCTAAATACAGGAAGCCACAGAAAGAAGTCATCACTTGAAACTCTAGCAGCAGACAAGAGATTAATGTAACCTCTGTTTCATAATCAGTTTCTTCTCTGGCAAATGATTAATAGCTGAGATTCCACCACCTGAAAAGCTGTGGGGTGGGGGAAAGCATCAGGAGGAGACCTCTCTGAAACACATATTCAGGAACAAGTTGTTTCGCTGCTGGAAACTGACACAGTCATGTGTACTGTATCATGATTTAGTAAAAAACACCTGTTTATAATGGGGAACACAAATTTTGTCACCATATAATCACAGCTGAAGGAAAAAATACTCATCTCCTTCTACACACAATTTTGGCAACGAGCACAAATTCCTTGGAACTACAAGCAGTATTTATACTGGCTCCACTATATGAAGAAATTCTTTAGCACATCTCTTTGAACAAATACTACTATCTTTTGGCACACTTCGTTTCCTTTTCATTCTCTTCAGATTTTCCATTAATTTACACTACACTGAGACAAGCTAGACAGTCTGCAGAAGTTAGATGGAGTACAACCATCCTAAGGTATTAGTGCAGCCAACCACAAGCATTCTCTCAAATGCACAATCATGAAGTTATCTGCTTGATATGCCTCCTGGATTTTTTCAGATTCTGCTGAATTCTTCTACACATCTGCAAGATTACTTTTTTTATTTTATGACTAACAGCACTTTTCTGACATACCTGCCTCTTGCTTAATCTCACCTCTGGTGCCTCAACAAGACTCCATACAAAGTACTGAATTTTGATGGCAACACCTTTTCTTTTATGGTCTTTTCCGTCACACCCAATTCAAGATTCTAGTCTATTGAGCATCTTGCAGCTTTGCCACTCACTTAAGGCAGTTACATGTATCAACAGAATTATGTGGTACTGTATTTTCAGCACCTCCCTCAAGTTTACCAGGAGTTAATAAGGTTTCAGAAAGCATCACCTGCAGCATGTTAGAGGAGATAAAAGTTCTGCTCTCTCAAGCCCTAGCAAGTACCATTTTATTCTGTTCTGAAATACATTAAAATATCTAAAAATCTGAGGAGCGGTGCTCAAATAGGATAGTCAAATCCTCCAAGCACACCTTTTTATTTCTTAGGATTGAATTCACATATCTTAAAAAAAAAAAAAAAAAAAAAAAAAAAAGTCAAGTAAACAGTCTTCTATTTAGATTTATTTCACATTTCTTACTCACTACCAAGTAGGTCTTCCCTTGCCTAAAAGCTTATTTGGTAAGTCTCTCATGAAATCACACTTCTCAAGTTCATTTGTAAAGCTTTAGCTCCTTCACATTTACAATTCGTTACAGATTCTTCCCTCTCACAGAAAGTCAACTGATTCAAAAATAAGGAAAGCTTTATTTTCAAAGTGAACATCTAAGTATAATTCTAGGTACTTTACCTCTACCTTAATGCTGCAGTGGTAATTATGTTATATAACACTCTAGGGATTTAAAAGAGTGTTAGTAAGTAGAGATACTTAATTATAATAGTAGATATGACTGGAAAAAAAAAAAAGAAAAGCATACAGCAGCTTTCCCGTATCTCTAAAACCTGTGAGTTCTGCTAGTGCATTAATAGGTTTCTGAAAGAATATAAGTACCTATCTCTACTGTAGGTAAAAGTAGAAACTCATAAATAATTTCAAAATCTACAATATTGACCTTTAACAATACCCTGGTCTATACCATTCTAAGTAGTAAGTTTAGAAGTAAATGACAAATTTGTCTTGCTTACAGCAGGGTAGTGGAAAAATAAATCCAAAAGAAAAGACAAACTGGTTTCAATATCTTTATCTTGTTCCACCTTAATACGGCATGACATAGTTAGCCATGGTAGCAATGACATGCATTCTGGTCCAGGGGACATTTTTCTTCCTCTGTCCCTAAAACTACACAAGTAACAATCTTTTGTTTCCCTTATCTACAGAGCATATTTTTCAATCTAATTCTAATCAATCTAATCTAAGGTACGTTTTGAAGCAGGATATACTCTTTATACTGCTTACATCTGTCTACAGACATGTACTGGTTTGATTTCTTCATTAAAGTATTCTTCCCCCTTGAACACACAAAGAACAACGTTCATGTGAGTGTTTGTCATCGCATTAAAGACCATCAAGAAGTTACTAATTTTCAGTTGTCAGTTATTCCTTCAGAAGAAGTAAGATTCTGCATATGTGTTTAAGACTTCTGGGTTGCAGTGTAAAATGGGTTTAGATAAACTATTCTGCAAGAATATTCAAAGTAGGAAATCACTGAAAAAAGATTCAAATCCTTCCTGTCACACCACTTTGCAAACCACTTTCATCAAAAGTGGCCACATCTTTACTATTTCTCACAACAAAAGCTTCCTCTAAATTATGAAGTTTTATCTTTTGGAAGGGCATTAGACCTACTGTTTTTAAACTGATACATTCCTCACTGTTGTTTAAACTAGAACTAAGAATTTGAAGAACTGGAACAAATCTTCTGATACTCCAATTTAGCTACATCCTTTTAAACAGAGTTAAAATGATGCAACTTTCAGCTTATGTTGCTTTCCTAAGACCATGTTAAGTCATCAATGCACACAGAATTCCTTTTTTGAAACTAACAGAAGAGCACCTTAACTTCATCCATTGTTTTTCAATACACAGCAAGTGCGGGTGGAACAAGCCAGTAGTCAAAATCATCAAGAGATACAGAATTCATCAAAACACTAATCATCTTCTAATACCAGCAGGCATGCTTCCTTAAACAAGTGGAGCACCAGGCTTTCCAAGATTCTCAAGAACAATCTAGTTTCCGGATGAAAAAATAGTTAAGTTAGGAGCAAATGTTTAAAGTTAAATGTTTAAGAGTTATGGTAAGAAAACCTGTTATGTTCATATAGCTAAAAATCTACATGGTACTTGGATCTCACTGATGCATACAACATCAGTTTCAGTTTTCTACTTTCTCAGAGAAATCAAGTTATGGCCAAATATGAATGACACCAGATTTTTTACAAGCAGCATAATTTTATGTATTTTGACAGGCAAAAGTAATTCTTATAATTTTTTTCTTACAGACTATGACACTAAACTGAAGCATGAATAACACCTTCAGCATTTCTACAATAGCTTTTTGCAAAAAGTGAAAAATTCTAACAACTATCTATCAGAGACCACTTTAGCGAGTCCACTCGAAGGCATGCGATTAGCATGCATTGCACTGAGGGGGCAAGTGAGGAACTAACTGAATCAAGTACCTTCTCATTCTTCACTACTATGCAGAGCAATTTTTTTAAATGCAACAAAATGTGTGCAATAAGTTAATACTTTTATGAAGTGTTTTTGTTGCACACAACTGCTGCTAGATCATCACTTGAGGCATTTTAGAGTTACTTTTAAGCAACAGAATATTTTTTCTAATTCTTTTGTAATCAGGTATGTCCCTAAACTAGAAAAAAAACACACTAATAGAGTCACTAACACTTACAGGCACTAACATAACAGACATAAAATTACCACCCTGTAGGATCCAAATACACAGAATAGAGGTCCATGACTTGCACAGGCAGGCAACCAATTCCATGTGCCATTAAAGCATTACCCATTAATTAGACAACTGCAACTAGACACCAGTTCGTTTTATATAATACAACAGTGTGCCAAACAGCATCCAATAATATTGCAAAAAATATGGAA